GGTGTACGCTGTCGTAAAGTATGAACGCAGCCATTAGTAGAAAAGAAAGCAGAAAACCGTCCGAAATGCCCTTTACAGGACTCCATGTCGACCCCAACTTGTACGTGCATGCAATGAAGAAAAGGCGTCTTTACGAATTTCCCACTCGTCGTTATCATAAAGATATCAGCTCTTTTATCTTATCACCTCACTCTCACCATTCGGAATGGAGAGAGATAGCATAGTGGCTACTAGCTAGTAGTCAGCTACTGGGGGTTGGCATGGGCGCAAAGGGTACTGACGGGCCTAACTGTTCGGCTTCCACCCAAATTCTTGCAAATTTCTGCATTCCGAATGTAGCTTACCCTCCAAAATCGCTTACCGGATCATCTGACACATTTGGGAAGTTATAGCCTTGTTTACAGCGGAATGTGCCTTTGATGTGTAAAGTATTGCCCCTTCAACTTTGAAACCCTTCTTCATCTACTCTCACATCATCTTATTTCCGATTCCAGTGTAAAAATTGTCACCCAGTGAAGGCGAGCATATACCATCCAAGGCAGTGGGAAGATTCAACCATTCTTTCGCGCAATCTTTGCTTCCCACATTCTTCCCTACAAGCCGAGCACCAGTCCCACCCCAGGCGCCTAGAGCCTCAAGGAATCCTACGAAGAAGTAAGTATCGTCCCGCAAATTACAGCAGGATCGTATATCTACTTTATCTCAATTCTTTTTATTCTTCACGTATATTGCTGCATTTCGCCCTACCGCACACCTCTTTCCTACTCTTTCCTCCCTCCCTCTTGCCCTCTCTTCTTTTCTAGGTTGCATCTATCCAGAGAAAACTAGACAAGGAAACTTTGGCGAGAAAATTGGAAAAGCTTCTCAAAATAGGGAGCACCTGTGCAGTTTCTTGGAATCCTCGGGATACTCATATTCGGGCGTGGTTCTCCTTCCTTCGAAATAGTCCGGAGGCGTTGTTGTTCGTCGCCTGGCTCCCGTTGTACTCTCCTCCGGATATTCCGGATATTCCTCCGTAGTATATACCTTTTCCTCTTCTTGTTCACCAGGTTCTACTGGAGGAGCTGTGCTGGCACAAGAAGGCGGCTGCAACATAAGCGAATGGATTAGATAAAAATCTAAAAAACAGTGAAAAGTCTCACCGTAATTCCTGCACACATTCCTGCCTTTTTCATGCACATCTGTATCTGGCAGAAGAACCATACGCCCGGTTTATCGGCGAATTTGAAAACCTTTGAAAAGGATTTGGAAAAGCGTCAGACAACAAGAGTGCACTACATATGTACTGTAGACTTACTGAGGATTCTGCGTAAGCTCTCTGAAGGTCTGAAGAATATCGTATCCCAGTGATAAGGATAGGATCCACCGGACATCTGAAAAAAGGCGTCAAAAAATCAGTGAGTAGTTCTAACGGTATTTGCTTGCATTATCAGTCAAAAGTATTTGCTAAAACGGTTTCTTGCGCAAAGGAGCGTCGCGGTGCGCAATGCGCTTTTTCCTGCAAACACGCTCCTCAGCATATAACGACCACGCAAAATGCTCAGATTTCTAATTTCGCGAAATATTTTTCGACATTTTCCGAGTGCCCACACCGTAAATTTGCTTGTCGTGAAAGGCTTAAGGCTTAAAGACAGCTTCCGCCGTGATAAAAGTGGCAAGAATAATTGCTGATCAATTATGAAACAGTAGCTGATAAGTAATTCCTCAATGAGGGGAAAAAAGCAACAAGAGCCCTCAAGAACACCACAAACGAAATTGCTCCCTTACAGTTACACCGCGCCCTGCGATCCGTGGGCAAAACCGCCTGATCGAAATTTCTTATCAACATCTCTCAGTAGTGATATATCATCCAGATGGCAATGAAAAATACGAAAAAAAACAAGAAAACGATCGAAGAAAAACTCCTAAAAACAAAAAAAAATTCAAAAACACGCGTCGCGAATTTGGGTTACGGAGCGAGCGGACTTTTAGTCACCAGCTGTCTGAGTCGAGCTTTTGCACCACAAAAATTGCATCACTCGTGATTTCTATGCGTTTTACCTTACGAGATGGTTGCATTTGACTGTATGTGCTCTCAATGAATGAAATGTGATAAAGGAGAGCAGAGTTATCTAAGGGCACCATCGCGGTCTGCAAAAATGACTTGCAATCCCGAGTATTGCCCGCCGTCCCAACAAAGAGCAAACTGAGGCGGCCTCCTTCGGATGGCAGCTCAGCGAGGCGGTCCGACTGAGCGGCGTCAGACTAGGACTTTGAGCGGCTTGTAAAGGCTCACATCTCCTCACTGTGAATTGCCGAAGAGTAGGACAGCATCTAGCTGGGGCTGAACTAAATGATACAAGAAGACGACCATGGCTACTCGAGCGGCGGGACGCTGTCTTAAGTCGCTAATTATGCGGCTTTTTGCTGAGGTATTCTCTCTTCTGAAGCAGTCGCGGTGATGTCTCTGTCCAACACAGAACAAGATGACAGTTGTCTCAAACTGAAGCATCAAACGAGTAACCCATCCTATGCCATAATGTGCCACGCCCACTTCGTCTCAGTGATAAGTAGTGTAATCATGGCGATTGCTTTGAAGGTTGAGTGCAATTCATTCTTAACAGGTTTTGCATAAAGAAGTTCTAGCTCACACGCTTGTAGAATCGACAACTTACCTGACATCTATTTGGCCAAGCTAACAGTCATCTTTCTTCCTGCTGCTAGACAATCCACCACCCTCAGTGTGCGGCTAGTGTTTGAATACCATTCATACAATTGACACAGAAATGTGGTAGATCCAGTTGAAAGAAAGGATAGCAAGAGGCAAATTGGGGAACTAAAGCAAAAGGAATCACCATCACAACAGGTCAGGAGGACATACGTGATTAATTCTAGATCACTCTTGTCTCGCACCCTTATAAATAGTCCCAATACTTCCACTTTTATTTCTGTCAATCACTGCTAAGTAGTGATTGACAGAAATAAAAGTGAGGCTCGACGGAGTTTGGTGCTCCTTCTCCCTTCTACATAGTGTGGGTTGTTGCTATGTTCACTCTATTACTGCTGTAACATTGTAAGGGTAAATGCTGTGATTTGAGATCGAGTGACCTGAAGAAGGGCTTATGCCCGAAACGTTGTCATATAATAAAGATTCAATGAAAAGAAGAGCTTCGCCGTTCTACCGCATACAGCAAGTACAATGGAATTGTTTGAAAAGCAATCTGGTAGGATAGTTGGACTATAGCTGTGAAACATTTCGAAAACCTGATCATTCTGAGAATCAGAACGCATCGTCGGCATAGATTCGCTCGCTGTCAAGCATCCACAGAGACATTGAGCGGACAGCAAGCGCACCCTACGGTCAGCACACGCCTTGAAGTTGGGGAAAAGTGAATGCTAAGATCCCGTTTCCCAAATTTTCCCCTCTGGCACTCCACCTTTCCATCTCGCATCCTAACCTAGCACCTTTCTAATTTCCCGATTTCCTGCCTTCATCCTCCTTTTTCCACCAAGAACTGCCGTCGGCGTAGGAAAAGATATGTAGTGCACTAGAAACAGGATAAAAGAAGGAGCAGCAACCGAAAACAATCTTCTCAGGGGCAAATACTATTTTCTCCCCTCCAGCAACCAATTGTTACCCTCCAACCCGCTGGGAATCCCAATAAACGACTTGCCGCGTCTGGAGTAGTGGAACATGAGTACACTCAGATACCAGAGATGGAGGGCGTGGTTGCGTACTTCATTTAAATATATGGAAATCGTATGGAAATGAATCACACTGTACAGTCTCGAACCTTCAAAATCGTCGCAATGATTCAACTCCCCGTGCCTTCAAGACATTTTTTTAATTTTTGAGGGCTGTGACTTCTTTTAGGTGGTTGCTAAGGCTAATTTACTGTTTTAACACAAGAAAAACTTTTGATTTCTGAAAAAGGTGGGCGTTAAGGTAGCCCTGCAGACATGGGAAACGACTTCACGGAAAAATGTATACTATGGCACTGCGCTTGAACATCCCTGCTGCAGTTTGCCCGTAACTTTTCCTAATTTATAAGGAAAATATTACGTATGAAAAATTGGAACTAATAGGCTAATTGAGAAAGAGTTAGCCATGTTTTGACCGCAAGTGTATCGCAGTAGTTTTCACGAACCCTTTATCATCTATCACATCGGCTTTCTTTCCGAAACCATCAGTAACGTAGCAGTTATTGATTAGCACGCCAAACATCTCTGTAAAATCGATATATCGAGCATTACGGATATGTGAACGAATGAAACTGGAACCAACTATCGTTGCAGTGCCATTGATGTAGGACTCTGTCGCCAACGCGGGCAAACTGAATCGGAGGTCCGGCCGGTTTTCCTTCGTCCAGTTCCTCTATGGAACTTTTATGGATGCTATATGTGCAGCCAGGTATTCCGTGACGGGCTTCCAATTCCGTAGTCGGAATCATGCTAAATCAACTCAATTACTGAGCAACAAATGACATACTTTGAAGCGCCCCTACTTCTTCCTTGGGCTGCTAGCCTGAATTCAACTCTGTAAGAACAAATAGAGACAAGTGGCTTCGCAGTCTGAATCCTGCACGGGATAAAGGACAATATCTTGCCCCACTACAGGTCTCTACTACATTTCCTAAAGACAGTAACCGATTGGGGTGGAGATAGCGCAAGTGTTGTGGCAGTGGCATCACTTACTATGCTCGTGGCCGGGTATCTAAACCAGGACTCCACCAGAGCAACCTGAGTATTCCATCCATCAAGGGCTAGCAAAGCAGTTGTTAGGATACAAACACTTACTTGTACACTGGCTAGGCCCCGAAAACTATTGTCAAGGCCAAATGACATTCAGGCGATTACATTCTAAAAAGTGCGGGTCAACACTAAAGTATTTCGCTCTTACAAGGACCAGGAAGCAGAATACTATCAGAGCGATTAAAATTGGTGTCTACTTGGGCCTCGGTTCGGTGGCTTACATCACCTTGAAGTCCTTTAACTACATATTTTTGCAACCAGACATGTCCAGAACCGCTCAATCGAAAAGAGCAAAGACATGTTCGGTCCGAGAAATTCCATCCACAGAACGTCAAATTGACAAATGTGCCCCTTGCCGTTAGATCATTCCTTTTTTGTACGATCGACCCCAATAGCAATGCAACATCAAGACTGGTCATGACAAATGGCCGAAGGCGAAAATGGTCACGACTACGTCCTGGTCTGAAAAACATAACAGATGTCTTCTCAAGCCAGACACCTTTAGGAGTTTCACTCGAATCTGTATGGAAGGTTGATTGCTGACTGTTGCATTAACTCTAAAATGGAAAACCATGGAAAAGCATGGCTTTTCATGACATCACAAGGACCAGTGTTGATTAGCCAAGGGATGACTAGATAACCACTTGTGGAAAGAACATGGGACCACCAATAACTCTAATGCCATGTACTGTGGAAGGTACAGGAGTCAGGCGCAGTTCGGATCAGTGGGTGCATCGTATGGTGCTCAGCTGAGCTTGTTCAGGCCACCTGGTGCACACCGGTGAAGTCCCGTGACCAAAAGTGGCTCACTAGAACATACTCGCTTCTACGTGGGGGTTTACAGGTCTGACCGAAAGGAGACCTGTTAGTTGACATTAACTAACAAAAAGATCCATGAAAGTGGGAAATGGCCCTTCCAAGCCGAACGGCACCCATGAATCGTTCAGCGAGAGCTCTGAGGCTTAGTTAGACGATAATCACGATGAGGGATTCGTCAAAATTAACACAGTCCATGAATATAACCCTTGCCATCAAGCTGAGACAAGCAAAAATCATGAAAATCTGATTTCACTGATTATGCTGAAAGAGCGAGCATCTGAGACGCCGGTGAAATTTCCATCCGGGCACCTTTCAAAAAGACCAGACGAAACCACAATGAATGACCGTGCTGAACAATAGCCAAATTTTGCCATTGAACAAATGTCAATGGCGCCTTCATGACATATGACACGAATTTCCGGTAGCTCGACCTTCTTCAGCTCAAACCAAAAAAGTTCGTGCGTTTTTTTGTTTACTTTTATGAAGTATATTCAGTAAACTGGATCTAGTGGTAGGGTAACTTTGAATACATGTTAAGACATATGTCAAGGAGTGTCATTCAGTGTATTTGTTAATTTAAGATTACTTTTCAAAATGTAAGGGCGACATCAAACATGTGTCCCACCAGACAATGCAAGACCAGCGCAGCTGCAAGTAAACATCACTGCAGAAAAACAATAGCGGCGACTGGGATGGAAATCTAGACTACCCTCCATAAATACTTTGTTTTTGGCGCCTTAGGACAAGAGCACGACATGAGGAAGTCGCGATTAAAAATGAAGTGGCTTTGACAACGGCAAGCTAAAACATTTCCTCCTTACTTTCCCAAAAGCAAGATTTTTACAAAAATGGAATATATGCTTTCTTGTCTCTAAATGGAAAAGTGTATTACTTGCTGAAGGGTGAAATATTTTTCGGAATAAATCAAGGTTTAACCCGTTTTTCAAGTTGTTTATTAAGTTTCACATGAAGCGTCTATAAAAAATCGCAAACCGGAAACTTTTTTGGCTGTGCCTGATAAATGCTAAGCAGGGTGGTTATAACAGTCGGAAATGACCGAAAAAACATGAAGCGAAATGTCGCAAGAAGCCAACATAGACTAGTCTGCTAATCAGAGACAAAAAAGCATCTTGGAAGAGTGACCCATAGCGCATCCGCTAAACAAACAGCTACGGCCCTAGAAAATGGTTCTTGGTATGTAAGAAATCCCTCCATGCAGAACCTCATGAAATCCATGGAGCACCGGGCAGCCGGGCTCATGTCAATTCCTTCGCTTCATGTTTTACTTCGCAAATGAAGCAGTACGAGCATCAGGTACATTCGTCCATTTGTGGGCGGGCGGGGCGCGGTGGGCGTCCAGATCGTTATGTTGCAGCTTGATAGGGGCATATAAGTGTATCTCCCTTGGAAAAAGACGCTACGCAGCGCGCTCGGGGGCGCAGAATTCCGTCCTGCCAGGCGTATTAAACCTACTCGTCTTAGGGACTTATTGGGCAAACTGCCTTTCAACTAAGCAAGATTACGTGGAGGGTTGTATTACCATTGAATACTGTATGCTTGTATGGGTGTTGAGTCAAATATCTATTATTCACCATGCCCACCAAGAATCCCTCAAGTCATCCAAGAACGCAACATTTCTCGCAACAATCCCCGCACTTCTTGACTACGGTACTCCGACAATGTCCTTTAATTACCCTCCTCTCACTCCTCCATATTCATATGGTATAAATCATCCGAATACGATCCGGTTAGTAGATGTCTCGATTGAAGACGTCGCTGAGCGATTACGTATTGTTCCACTAGCCATAGATCCGGTTCATATGGGCGGAGATCACGATGAAGAGTTGCAGTCGCCGAAGAGGTATCATTATGCCCGATTGCACCGCAAGAATCCACAAACGGCGACTAGGGCCTCGTGATCCCTTCACAGTAGCCATGGCCGCCCGGTGGTGGATGGGGGCTCCCCTTGTCGTTGACCACGTCGGTATATAATTGGTTGAGCGTGAATAATTAGAGTCGACCCAGATTATTCACCGGACGAACTGGAGTCGCTGCCCGGTCCGCAAGGTTTCACTGCAGAAAAACCTGGTTCTGGGCGACTTCCGCCACTGAAGTTGAACTGCCCAGTAATTAGCTTTGACAATAAGGTCCCAGCGGTTACATACTTATTTTGTGGCTATCCTACGTAGTTCACTTGGATCCTTGGACAGGAATTGCTCTCATAGTACTCATCTGATTTACACCGTGTGGATACGAGCGCAAGGTGGAGGTGGGGTGGTGATAAACAGAAGAAGAAAACAAGGGAAACTTCTATAAAAAGCAATGATTTGTTCCGTCCTTATTCAGACCACTGTAATTAGCCGCCCACCACGCGCGTGTTGCAAGGGTCAAATCATGGCTCCCTCAGGCTAGCCAATCCTTCTGCTCACCTGACGGTAAATGTGTAGGTACCTCATTCGTCTGGGAAGATATAAGACTGATTTGAGCATCGGCGAACCCCCGCAACTCTTTGTATGGGCCTCACTGCATTCAATAAACCACTACG